AGACAGGTTCATTAGTTATATTTAAAGGGCAGGTTTATTAGGGAAGGGAAAAAACAGTTAAAGACATTTGCATAGACACAAGCGGGCAAGAAAAGCTGCCCCAGAAGGAACAGGTTTGCTAACAGAGGCCTGCATAGTTGCAGACGGGCAGCCTTGACAGGTCAAGGGCAGGCAGGAAGCTGCTGCCCTGCAGAGGGAGAGAGGCACCTGCATAGGCACAGGTGGGCAGTGAGAGTGCTTCCCCAGGTCGGTGCAGAGACTGCATTGATATAGTCTTCTGTTTGGGAGGGGCTCACTCCTTGTGAGCTAATTTTGGATAACTATGCAGAATCTGAAAGGAACTGGAGATTCCACAATGGGCTCAATCTCCAATCTCTTTACCCTTGGGCCTGTGCTCTAGACAGCACAGGCCTGACCTGCTTGGATGTTATGTTTTGTAATCTAGGCATCTGCACCTAAGGATCATAGTCTGTGCCTAAGGATACTAGTTTCCCAACTGTGTGGTCTGTGCCTAAGGATCTTAGTTTCCTTAGCTGTGTCAGTGGCTATGCTAATCTCTTCTACCCCCACCTCCTTGTGAGTCAGGTTTTTGGTCTTGTGGCATACCTCCTTTTCAGTTTTTTTTTCCTATTCTTGTCCTCCATCACTACCACACACCTAGTAAAATGGCTATACCAGAACACTCAAACCACCAAATGCTTCTGAGGATGTGTGGCAATGGGAACTCACATTTATTGCTGAGGGTAAAGCAAAATGAAAGTGCCACTTTGAAGACAGTTTGGCAGTTTCTTACAAAGCTCAGCATAGTCTTACCAAACGATCAGCAATCACACTCGTAGGTATTTATTTAAATGAGTTGAAAATGTATGCCCACACAAAAACCTGCTCACAAATGTTCATACCGGCCTTATTGAAAATTGTCCAAAATTGAAAGCAAATGAGAAGTATTCAGTAAGTAACTGTGGTACATCCATACAGAGAATAAGTATTCAGTAATAAATAGAAGTGACCTATCATATCATTAAAAGACATGGAAGAACAGAATATGTGCATTACTGCATGAGAAAGAATGTCTGGAAAAGTTACATGCTATATGGTTCCAAATAGCAATACTTGCCAGTTTAGAAAAGGTAAAACTATAGGACATTAAAACAATTAGAAGTTTGAGGGGAGAAGAGGGATGAATAAATATAACACAGATATTTAGGACATTACAATTATTTTGCTCAACACTGTAATGATGGATATGTTGTAGAGCAGCCCCGATATTGAACGGGTTGCCTGGCTGTGGGTCCTCACCCACGCGCTTAAAAGGGACTTATTAATACTCCACTACAGGCACACACAAAAAGTTAATAAAAGGTTTATTTACAAGGGAAAGGGAATTGAGGAAATGTACAACTCAGGGAGAAAATAGGGAAATAAAGTCTTTAATGCGTCCTACCCAATCCGCCGACCTGGAAACCCAAAGTCACTCTCAGAGCTGGCCGGATGCTGCGAGCTGGTGGAGAGCCAAAATGGGAGACCCCCCAAAGCCCACGTGTCTGCCTTTATACCAACTTGGCTGCTTAACCCCACCCTCAGGTCCCAGCCACCTTCCCTTTGGTGGTGATGGGATTTGGAGTTCCCAGTGTCTTTGGCTTTGGCTTGGGGTGGGGGTGGAGTCCACAAAGCCTGTATGGAATTAGTTTTAGGACATCCTTTTCCCCCTAACAATTACATGACAATTTACATTTGTCAAAATCCATAAAACTGTACCACAAATGCTACATTGAGTTCTAGTATAAACTATGGATTTTAGTAATAGCGTAACTATATTGGCTCACTAATTGTAACAAATACACCACACTAAAGCAAGATCTTAATCAGAGTAGAAACTATATGTGAGGGGTGGGATAAGGTAGGTGGGTATATGAGAACTATTATTATATGCTCAACTTCTCTGTGAAAGTAAAATTACTCTAAAAATAAAATATTTTTTTAAAAGCTGGTAACATTCTTTTATTGTTTCTAAAACAGTTATCTAGAGCTTATGCTAGGTTTTCTATATAGAAAAAATAAACTATGATATCATAAAGATGATGGTTTTATTCCTATATTTTTAAATTTTGTTAACACTAGAAGTAGCTTTGCAATGTACCAGTTATTTCCTTTTGTTATTGCTCCTTAAGGATATTCCCCAACACCTCACATTTATTTTATGTGAATTATATAATGAAGCTGTAGTTTTGAAATCTATAGATGCCATTTTTTAATGATGGAAATGTTTCCTTTGATTCCCACTTATCAAATATGGATAATAGATTTCCTTGAACATTTTTCTGTATCTATTAAGGTGATCATATGATGTTTCTTCTTTAATATTCCCTATTAGTTTCAATATTCTCTATTAGCTCACTATCTCTAATATGTCCTGCATGCTCACACACCTTCAGGTTTCCTGATTTTGCTTAACTCTTGGCGTTTATGGATTTCCTTCTGTTTCAACTCAAGATATATTTTAATTTCTTTCATTTAATACACCAAGCTTTCTCAGACAAGTTTTAGCTCAATCAGAAGGCTAGTTTATGAATTTTTTTCTGCCATTTGGCTATAATTCTTTATCAACGCCTATATATACTATCTAATTTTTCTGCTCTTAAGCATTATTGATCATGAATGCACTTATAGAAAGAGGGCTCATTGACCAAGAGACATGGAAATTTCATTTATTAGGAAAATCCAAATATTATTTATATTAATTTGTTGACATAATATTTTATAGTATTATTTTGAAGTGTGGATCACAACGATGACAAAACAAGTCTGTTAAATAAAAACCCTAGTAAACAAATGTGATTGTGAACAAAAACTTTATGGGTTTGGTCCAAAATTGCTTTGTCTTTGATTTCTATTATCTACAGAAATAACTGATATAAGTTGCATAACAGAAATATTTAGGAACATATGATTTGGGAGGATAATCATTGAAGTGCAAAATAATGCTGAAAATTGTTCCCAAAATATGCAAAAAAAAGTTCAGATGGCATATTTCAGATGTCCATATAGAAAATCAATACGGGCCTCCCATGGTGGTGCAGCGGTCAAGCACTGGGTTGCGAGGCTGCCCACAGCCTCTGCAGCACCAGTTCGATCCCTGGCCGCCGGGGAGGGTCCCACCAAAAAAAAAAAAAAAAATCAATACATTTATCTTTAAAGATTCACAAAGGGTTAATTTATAAAAAAATAAGAATTATTAATTTCTATCTTCTTTCTAGTCATGTAATCTAATAGAGATGGTTTCTGACATCCTACCCTTTTCCCAAAGTATCTTCTTCTTCCCGTTGGTTTAAGATCTTTCTCTTTCTGTGGTTTTAGTTGAAACTATTTCTTTAGAGAGATCTTTTCTCATTTTCCAGAGCAGATTGGAAGTCCCTGGGTTATATTTATTTTGTATCCTGCTCTTTCATATCACATATATATGACTATTCAAATTCTTGACATAACTTTGTAAGTTGGTGCAGGGGGCCCGGTGAGGGCCCCAGGCCACAGGCACAAGGAGAGGCCTTGAAACTGCAAAGGGAATTCCACCTTTGCCTCAGCTCCTGGAACCAGAGGCCTCCACCTGACACAAACAGGACCTGATAGCGATCAACCAAAAACCACCAATAAATAAAAAACAACTTCGGTTCCACATAACCAGTTTTGCTGCCTAACCTTTCCTCACCTTATATAAGGACATTTCTCCTCCACAACGGGCTCGACTTCTCCAACCCCTGTGTGTGTAGTTGGGGGAAGGAGGGAGGGGAAGGGGGTCAGTGAACCTCGCCCGGGGGCACAGTAAAGTTCCTGCCTGTTAGGCACTTGGCCTGGCTTTCCTTCTCTTTATCATGCCAATCCTTTCAAACTTAAATTCCAATAAGATAGACTCCCCATATTTCACTTATTGCTTATACTCTAGCACTGTTTTTATCCTAATAGGGACTCTAAATGGTTGTTCAATGTATCAGTGAATAAATGCGAACATAGTCACTAGTCCAATGATCACTCTACATGGGAAGATACTTGCATTCCTTAGGAAAACTTTATTGAAGGCAAAACAAGAAAGGATGATCCATTTGCATTGTTGCAAAAAAGATATTGAAATACTTGGACTGATATTAAAGCAATAGACTTAAAAACATTATTTTTTCAGCATATGAGAGTTTTATTAATAATGATAGTAGTAGCAGTAGTAGTAATAGTAGTAGTAGATACCATGGGGGCCTTAGTCACCAAATTGGCATGAGTAACCAAATTGCTTATTTTTTTTTTTTAATTTATTTATTCATTCCTTACCACCACTGAATGCCTGTTATCCCACCACTGTATCGCCTGGGAACCATCACCATATTCCCTTGTGTTCATCCCTCCTGCTTTTCTCCCCCTCTTGCCCCCTCCTTTTCTGCATGCCTCAGTTCTATGGTTAGCTGCTAATTTTAGTTAGGGCAATTAGGCAAGAGAAAGACATAAAAGGAATCCAAATAGGGAAAGAAGAAGTGAAACTATCATTATATGCAGATGATATGATAATATGTACAGAGAATCCTAAAATAGCCACAGAAAAACTAATTGAAACAATAAACCAGTTTAGTAAAGTAGCAGGTTACAAAATTAATGCACAAAAAACAGTAGATTCAAAAACATTTTAAGTGCTAATTATTTATATACTTTATCATTTGATTATTTTATAGATTATCAATACTATTAAAGAACATAATGTGTTAGAATATTCACCTGAAAGTCTCTCAAAATATTGAATTCATTCAAGATATTGGAAGATCTAGTTTACAAAAAAGACCAAGTATGTAAGGGGTGTCTATAAGGCTCCCAAATGGACAGTTTATTATCTTAATTATAGTTTTAAGTTGCTTGTGTTGACATTGTATCACTATAAGTTACCATACAGTCAATGTGCATAACATGTCAAAATAAATGAAAAAAAACAAAACAAAACAGTAATTCATCATTAGTTGTTATACCTGTAAGTGATGTGTTTGTGCTGCCACTTCTGTCCTGTTAATGCATATCGTTTTCGACGAATATTAAATTTGGAGCTACCTCTTGTCTGGTCAGGTACACCACATCGAGGCTTCTTCATCCAGCTGCAAAAAAAACAGTATTTTCCAGTTATGTACCAACAACCCTAATCATTAATTTCAAAAAGTAATCAATTGAGACATTAATCTATGACAGTGACATGGAAAACAGGAAAAACATTTTGAATATTGTCAATTTTCTTAAAATTTGAATTTAAATGGAAAGCATATTTTTTCCCTAAATGATCAAGACAGACTAGCTTACAATTCAGATCCTTTAGAGAATTTTTCTCTAATTTATTTTGAGCTAAGTGTTGACTGATGTACTCAAACTACTACCTAGAATCTGTTGTTAACAAAATATGTACCTTAGGCAAGACATTAATTAATCCCTAGCCTCATTCATAAAATGACATTTAAAAATAAACTGTCACTAAGTTCTCTTTCAGCTTTAACATTTACAATTAAAGAAAAATCTATTTAAATTCTATGAGTCAAGAGGGTATATGCTATTTTCTTCTTACTAGTACAGAAGCAAATTTTCATTTAAATAACATGTCTTTTTCTACTTTTTTCTTCTGTTCATTTTGATCACTTCCCTAATTTCCAAGTAACAGCCATTTGGTTTGAATGTTTAATAAAAGCTAAATTCAATGTTTAAGAAATTGATTTTTTTCCTGAATATGAGGGCTAGCATCACACAAACAAATTTTAATGTGTTTTTACTAAGAAAATAAAATGCCTTTGATTTATTCTTAACACTTATAACAGGTACAGTATCTAACTTCTTTTCTAGAGAGTTGCATTTTACCATTATCATGTTTTCCCTATAGTCTTGTTTCTTTTTTAAGGAGAATTTTCATGATTTTAAGTATTGCTTTAGTGACTGATAAAATGGTTTCACTGTTCACTAGCCCATTTAATTTCACAATTACAAAGCCAAATCAGAATTTCCATGTTGCTACATGCTGCGTAAGAAACAATGAGAAAAGAATCACTTTTTGCTTTATTTTGCCAAATACTTAACAATTTCTTAATTCTTTACATGAAAAATAATTGACTAAAGAAGTGCAATTTGTGAAAATGATTGTGATAGTTTACATGTTACAAAGATAAATCAGTTAATAAACTTTCATAAAGACAAGAACTTCATGCAACAATGAAATAATGACTTTTACTTTTTATGAAAGATGACACTTTTCTAGTAAGCATGATAAAATCTCCCTTTTATTCTGCCTTCACTAATAATGTAGACACGGCAGTTGTCAGAATTAACAAAATTCATCTTAGAGTATAACACATTGAGTGCTTCAGAAAATCTCCCTTTCCCTTTATTAAAGACTCTAGACCAAACTACTTGTCTTACAAATGTTAACTCCATAGGAGGCTATCCACCCCTATGAAACTGAACTCTCTGAAGTTGAAACTGGAGACCTTTTATATTTAACTAACACACCCTGGGCATACCTAATCCACTAGATTTGAGAGATATTTCACTAGACTGTAAAACACCCAGGAGCAGGAGAGCTATATAACTTCAGGAATTTGTACAACCCCTGGCATATAAAAGTTATTCAATGAATAGATAATGACACTGCATTTTTTAAATTAAAAATCATTATATTTTATAACATATTGGTATATATTGGTATAATATATTGGTATATATTGGACAATATATTGGTATATTTTATAACATATAGGTAATACATTGGTATAATATATTGGTAAATTTTATAATATATTGCTATAGATTTAGCTAGCAAATATTCAGCATTAATGGTGGCTTTAGGATGATTTAAGTAACTTTTATATATATTTCCTTAATTATATTCTCAACAAAAATTACAATATTCCTAAGGCAGGTACTTATCCTTACTCATCTCACTAAAAGTATTGGGAGAATAAACAATATAATTATTAAATATGAATAAATATACTTAGCTTGGGAGGTGATTACATTTACACTTAACTAAGGAAAATATTTAAGTAAACAACTTGGAAGGATAATAATTTTGCAATTATTTTAGTCAGGAAACACTGGTTTATAACAGTATATATAATTCACAAATACAGAATCCCACCTCTTCAGGTGTATGTTACCACTAGATACCTGCCACCAAGGCACCCATAGTCCTGACATAGTAATTGGGTCTCCTTTCCTCCATCTTTATTCTTCATCCTTCCCCCCTGCTTCTGGTTACCTCAGTTTTACAGTGGGATTTCCATGGTTTGCTTTCCATTTGGTTTTGCATGACTCTGTTTTTGTTTATCTATATTCCATATTTAAGTGTTTTTAAAAAATATTTTAATAATAAGATAATAGATGAAGGCAGTAATTGAAAAAGTTTAATATAAATTAGTTAAGTTTAATCAATTTGATATAAATTCCATTTTAAGTAATATATATACATTGAATCCAGTGAAAGATTTCTCAGTGAAGAATTTCATTTTCTAAAGAGCAGGATTTTTAGGGATTAACATTAGATTTCTATGCTGAGAGACACCTACTGCTCCCCTCAGCAGTGTATTTCAGTACATCTGCTTGTTCTGTTCCCTACTCTGTCTGTGGTGAATCCTCTCACCCCTTGAACCTCTGACTTATACCCCAGTTTTTGTATGTATAAGTAAATAAATCTTTAAAAAAATAGATTTTAGTCCATTTGCTTTATGTCACTTATTGGAGACTACTAATGTCCACTATCCTATCTTTTGAGGATTTTGTAACTCCTTTTTCCCTCTGTGCCTTGAAAAAAAATGTTATTGCATGGACATTGTGTGAATACTTTTATATAAAAGTAAATCATAAAGTAGATGAATTAAATGTAAGGGCAAACATAAAAGCAGGAATAATCTAATATTAACTAGTATTTTAATGCAAAGAACTCTCAATGAGTATTGATCAAATGGAAAACTCTCTGTTAAACTCACTAATATTTGTATTCAAATATTCTAGCATAGAGATATTAGCAGGTACATTTATCAAAATATATAAAATCATAAAAATCTGATAAAGAAAATCATGACACTGAATATGACACATAATACCTGAAATAAATTGATCTCAGGCTTTTTATATGACTCCAAACATTTAAAATACTCATTAATTTCATAAGCAGCCAGCTTCTTTCTCATATTGTTTTAAAAGTTCATAATGGATATAGAGAATAGTCAAGGTTTAACAGGACTCACCAATGAATAAAATGTTGTCTAATATTAAATGCAAATTGGTATGTTAATGTTATTCAAGCAGAGTGGGCAGAAGGATTCATTTGTAGTTGCCATTAGATGAACATGAATTTATTTTGCACCAAAATGCTAGCGGCATTCAGGTATCATTTTGATAAATACCAAATACACCTGCATAAAAGGGTGCAAAACTCTGCATGCACAAATAAAATTGTCTCATGAAAGGTTCTAACTATATCACATGAAACAAACAGGGTTTGACTTGTGTGTGTGTTATTTTCAGACAATGTTTTCTAGTGAAAGTATCATTACTGCAACATACTAATTTTTCAGGTCAACACATAGCTCACATGTTTGTACTGCTTCTTTACTGACACATTTGCTAAGAATTTCAAGTTGATGTTCCAGAAGAAACAATGCCATGGGGAATGGGCACTGCAGGAATTGGTAAGCTATAAGGAGGGGATTTTATAATAATCAAGAACCCAGGGCACTTTAAAATTATTTTTTAATTAATTAGTTTGTTTATTTTTTGCATGGAAGAACTGGGATGTAGGCCAGAGGTGAAGGAAATGAGAGGACTCACCAGAGACAGACTGGGGAGCAGAACAAGCAGATTTACTTAAACACTGCTGAGGGGAGCAGTGGGAGAGATAGGACAGGTCTGCTGTGCCATATGTGGGTTAGTTCCCTGGCCAGGGATAGAACTCTGGCCGTAGCAGTACAGCACTGAGACTTAACCACTAGGCCAAAAGGGAGGCCCAGAGCACTTTAACTCACTGACTAATATGACATTAGTCAGGCTATTGTTTCATTTTATTCCTCAGTTTCCTTATGTACAAGATGGTGACAATAGTATTGTTATTATCATTGAGGATTAAATTAGGTAAAGTATGCGACACACTTAAAATAGTTCCTGGCAGCAACTGCTATTATGATTAATTTAAATTAAATATTATTTTACAATTATCAGGAAATCATTGCATTAATAGAAGCAGCAGTAGCATCCAGATATCAACATATTGGGCCTCCCCGGTGGCGCATCAGTTGAGTGCTGGGCTGCAAAGCTGCCCGCAGCCTCTGCAGCGCCGGTTCGATCCCGGGCTGCCTGGTGAGGGTCCCACATGGCGCACAGACCTCTCCTGCTGCCCGCTGCTCCCCTCAGCAGTGTACTTCATTACTCTGCCTGTTCTACTCTCCACTCTGGCTCTGGTGAATTCTCTCACCCTCCCGCACCTCTGACTGTACCCAGTGCTTGTATAAATTAAAAATAAATAAATAAATCTTAAAAATAAATAGATATCAACATATTAACCAACATGTCTCAGTTCCCTTTATTTGTATGCTAACAATAAGCATTTCAATATTCAATACAGAGATATTTCTGGTATTTGACAATAAAGATACCCACAGATACACTATCCTCTGTCTTATGTAGATAAAGTAGCTACTGGCTTCTAAATACATTTGCAGTAATGCTAAGAATCACTGTATATGAAACTGTGTTTCATATACAACTGTTTGCTTAGGTAAAAAATACTTAGAAAATTAACTCGGGCATTGATGACAAATACATAGGTTAACTTCCTGCCTGACTCCAAGAGATACCTTCAAGTTATAGCCCACACCTCAGGTGCTCCTGATGTGGGGCTGTTGGAAGGAAGCATTTCAATAGGATATAGTGGATAGACCATACAGTTGGAATTTTATCATATAGTGCCTGTGTATATATAACTGAACCACCCTATGTTAGCATGTCTGAGTACCATTGGCCCATCCAGAAATAAATAAAAAGAACTGCAAAGAATAAAAGCCCCAACAGGGGGTTCCCTGGTGGTGTTAAGCCTCAGCACTATGAAGCTATTGGCAGCCACTGCAGCATGAGTTTGATCCCTGGCCAGGGAGCTACCCACATGATGCAGCAGACCTCTCCTGTGTCAACTGCTGCTCCCCTCAGCAGTGTATTTCATTAGATTCTATTCCCCACTCTGTCTCTGGTGAATCCTCTCAACCCCCACCCCCGTACCTCTGGTCTGTACCCAGCTCTTGTGTGCATAAATTATTAAATCTTAAAAAAAATGGACATACTAATAATTAAGGCATTCTTGATATAAGCAAATAAATATTTCAATTTGCAAAGTAAGAGTTCAAATGTTACTACAGTTTCATAAGAATTCTTTGAAAAATAGTTATTTAGTTAGTCTTACATTTTCATTATGATAAATTTCTGGGCATGGTTTGAATAAATGAAGTAGGATTACTCAGATCATCTAATATGTATGTATGTGTGTATAAATATAAACACACACAAGCACACACACACATATGGAAAGAGGAGAGAGTGAACAAAGATAACCTTAAAAGTATTTCAGCAAACATGCTTCAGTGCATAACACTGTGCATACACATAAGGTAAACTAAATTTTAAAAATACTGTTACATTAGAAAAACATATTAAACTCATTTTCATTAATGCTTTGCTATCTTTTCCTTTCCTTCCTAAATATAACCTTTTTATTCATAACTTCAATTATTCCATTTATTAAGAAATTTAACTGAGATTGCTTACAAAAAATAGTCAAGCAAACATAATTTAGAAGAAACTTTGCAACATACTATAATGAGCTCATCTTGGGGTGGGGGGATAAATATTCATTACTTTTTCTCTCAAACTGAAGTTAATTAACATAAAAGCAATATAATATGCCATTTAAGGTAATACCTAAATTTGTTGCTTGAAAATTGTTAATTTATTCAACATAATATAGGATTATTATAATTGGCATCATTACTTTTAATTATCCAAGAATTATAGATTGCATGCACCAAATGTCTGTCTACCAAAGGAAGACATAATTATTCAATTTAAAAACAATTGATCTTGACGAGAGCCTAAAATTAGATAAAATTTTATAGCATCTGAAAATGAAACCTACAACATGATTTTAATATGGAGAACCAATTTTACATTTATAATTGTAATCCACATTTTATGTAATAAGGTTTAGATAAAACTCATACCTTGTAATTTGATTGTAAAATAATAGATTGCAATTTCAGCATGGATTGTTACCACACATTCATTTGAGATTACTAAAGAACAGACAATTGCACTGAGCAACGCTCTCTCAAGACTGGGCATACATCAATGGCAAAAATGTCAGGAGGCAAATGAAGCCACAGGGTTTATAGTTCAAATTAAAATGAAAGTGACCTAGAGGACAGAGCACACATTCCAAAGGTTCCGAAGGGACGATGAGGGTTTAATGAGACTTTTTGATTCATTGGAAATAACTAGTAGCTATATTAGGCATAACACTATATTAAGGGAAAAATGTCCTACCAATCCCCAAAAAACTGAACAAAATTGTAACAGATAAGGAACACCATGTCCCCCAAATAAAAAGAAAACAACAACATTGATTTTAAATAAAAGACTGCCTATACAGTTGATCTTTTTCTCTTTAATTCACAGAAATGCTACTTAAACTCCCACGCACTGACATTTCTCCTGCCTAGAATCTGAGCCACTCTATGCTAGAAAAAGACCCTACACCTCTGCATTTTTCACATGATCCTACCAGAGAACAATCTGTTCAGACCCCTTTCCATATAAAGGGTCCAAATAAATCCTGCCCACATTCCTCCTCCATTATCTATGAACAAATACCTTTTTCCAGCTAATTTAGAAAATCAAACCTATCCACTTTGAGTGATTTCAATGACCAGCAGAAATTCTCCAAACCAGGGGAAATTCAGATGCCACTTTCTCTAGGACTCTTTAATTCTAATATCCAGTAATAAGTAGATCTAAATTAATCTGCTCCCTAAATTCTCAATTTATTTGTATTTTAAAAATTGTATCATAATTTCCAAGAAAATGAATCAGCCAATAACAACTTTGTATTAGAGGACCAGAAAACTGTCCAGCACACTTTGTGAAATATTGAGATAAAGAATATAATTTAAATGGAATGTTGTATTATGCAGTAACCAAATGCAGGACTTGCTGAAGGTTACTGCTTATTAATTTAAAACTATATTTAGGACAAGTGGTTATTATAAATTAAGATGACTATTTGCTATTACATTATTAAAAATTGAAATAATCAGAGGGCAGCAGGTCCAAAATGTCAAAATTCTATTTCCAATATTGATAACAAATTTCTAATTCTTACAGAATGTATTATATCAATTTTTTTTAAGATTTATTTATTTTTATACAAGAACCTGGGTATAGGCCAGATGCGTGGGAGGGTGAGAGGATTCACCAGAGACAGAGTGGGGAACAGAACAGGCAGACTGACGAAACACACGGCTGAGGGGAGCAGCGGGTGGGACAGGAGAGTTCTGCTTCACCATGTGGGATTCTCGCCTGCTGGCAGGGATTGAACACACACTGCAGAGGCTGCAGACAGCTTCACAGTGTGGCGCTCAACTGCCTGCGCCACCAGGAAGGCCCTATAATTAATTCTTGATTCTGTTTTACCACATATACATCAGTTATCATTTATGTATCTCTTAAAAATGCTAGGAGAGGTAATAAATTTATTTTTTCAAAATGCTTTGATGTTTAATCTTCTAGGTTTTATTATATGCTGTCCTGTCTTGATAAAATAGAAATTGTATGACTAACATCATGTTGTGAGTATTGTAAGGCAAAACATAATTTTTAAAATATTTTATATATGAAATCAGCTTACTTTGTTAAAATTAAGTGCATATGCCTGAGCCCAAGTTTTTCAGGTATTTAAGGTTTAAAAATAAAATAACAACATGTTGTTTCTGGAGGCACACTGCATGATATAGTAAAAATTTCCCCAACTAAGCTTCAAAAGATCTGTAGCCTAAACAGTTCTGGATTTCACTTAGTCTTTGACATTCAATTTCTTTATTTGAAATGGTAGAAAGTAAAATACATCCTTGTTTTCTCTATTGTGGAGAGTTGATGAATGATGATAGAATTAAACAATGAAATAGATTTACTTTGTGAGTATAAAGAACTCAAGAAACACAAATGAATTTTCCCCGCATTGAAAGAATTAATCACTTTCTCCTTTGCAGTCCAGAAACAATAATGCTGTTTCATAATGTTACAGAACTTTAGCTGACCTATGGTAAAATAATGTTAACTATGACTAACTATTCAAAGTTCCTTTGAGGAAAAGACTATGTTTTCTGATTCTGTGCAGGCCTCTTTTACAGATAAAAGTGCCCAGAAAAAGAGGGGTTTGGTTAAATGAATAATTAAGGAGACAATCGATGTATCAATCAGAATATAATCAATACAATTAATGAATTAACAGAAGTTCTTTGTTATTAACAAACTGAAAATAGAAACTCTAGCGTGAAACATCCTGTTTGAGTTAACATATTTAGAAAATAGTGGGAGGCTAGTAACTGTTAACTGAGTCTCTGATACCTACTTCTTCTTCTCTCCTTCCCCCAAACCCCTGATTTGTATAGTCTCCCATTTTCCTCCATATCAGTATTTCTGCTTTGATCAACTGGCAGCTTCTGATGTGACATCATTCAACAGGGAAGCAAAAGCACATTATGCTCCGCAGCTGTAAGAGGGGCTGCCACACAGCACTGATGGCCCCTTAATTTGTAGTGGCTTCAACTGAACATCTACTTTGAGTCTCACTGTTCATATTTTCTTTCCTATTTTGAAAATATGTTGCTAACTTTGGGTGAGTAAACTTGACTTTGGGTTTTATTTTTTATGGAATCTCAGCAGAGTGGAATTAAAATAGGTGAAACTCTAAAGAGACATTCATGCGAGAAGTAGTTGGGGAAGTTCATTTAAAGTGTTTCAGACTACTTAGTCTGTCCTCAAGGCCCCCAGAAAAGAGAGTGGGTGTCACTACTTACTCAATTGTGTTTCGGTCCACTTTTCCTGTCATGTTAATGCCGTAGAACTGCTGCATGGCAGCTAGAGCGGACTGCATGGTCTCTGCAGAGCGCAGCACCGACATTCTGGGGTCAGTCGGTGGAAGGTAGCCGTACTTTTGTAACCAAACCTGTAAAAACAAGTTCAGGTCTGTTTAGATCAGCTATGATAATTTCATGGTAATTAATTTAGGTCTATAGCAGAATTTTAAATTTCCTTTACAAGGACATATGCTATTTAAATATTTAATCTCTTTTTAACATACATATTGTAGTTTAGTTTGATATAATTCCAGTGGTTGTTATAGGTCTTATAATATACCTCATATGCTAATTGAAAAGAAAAAGATTATTGTTTTTTGCAAGTTTATAGTTTATCAGGTACTATAGTAAATACTGGATAAAATAAATAAGATCATTTCTGTTCTGTAGGAACTCAGTCTCTCAAAATGAAGGAGGGTACTTTTTCAACAGTATGACCCCATCGAGACATCTGTGTTGGAAAGAGAAGTTAATGTGATAGACATCATTCAAAATGCCATTTTCCTAAACAATTACCAGTGACTACAACTGTGATGAATAGTATCATTACACAGATAGATCATGCCATCCTGTCACGACATTTGGGTACGCATTCACTAATAAACCAATATTCTGTCATAATATTTTGGGTATAAATTCCATGCAACCAGTCTATTCAATTGTAGCTAGATGTCTTCAAGGGCAGGTGACTGTTTCTCATATAAAGAATATTTTCTCATTTAGTCAAGGTGATTCACTTCAATCCAAATCATGCTCATGACCAAACTTTACAAATATAGATGAAATCAGACTATCTTTTTAAGTATCTGGTCATCTCTTTATGATCTGATGGTATTTATTCTCCTATTCCCCTGAAAAGAGAGGGCTGAGAGCACAGTGGGAGAAAGATGTCGGAGTTGAGCTCACATTCCAGTTGTGATTATAGCAACAATTCAGTTATTTAAGATTAGATTTTCAAAAGGAACCTTAAACTGAGGATATTTGTGGAAAAAGTCTTTGCCAGAGAACAGATGCTTTCTAGTTATATAATTCATTGCATTCATTTTAAATGCACAATCATGTTCGGTTCATATCCTTCTGTTCCTTACCTCAATCTTCCATTGGGCTCTAAGATTTTCTTAAGTGCAGTGAACTACCTGTCAAATTGAATAGGGCCAAGTATTTCTGCTTCTGGCATGGAATAGAAGCTGTGCTATTTAATGGAAGGTATTCACCAGAACGGGTTTCCCTCCCTACCGAGTCTATTCATCTATAAATGATGATCCTACGAAGTTGCAATTTTTCTCCTACATGTGATACACTTTATGAATGTATATCTAAAACACAAGAGTTGATTTCACTGTAAAGATAAACAGCAAATATGGAAGTAAAATTTCACCAGAAGAAATCATATTAAAAATATCACAGTTTTAACATGTAAAATACCAAGTGGAATATCCTGTATTCCAAGTGGAATATTTCCAAGAAATTGACCCTGCTACCTCAAAGTGCAGTACTATAGGCACAACCCCTTGCAAATAAAATAAAACATGTATCCTAAAAACTATTTAGGAGATTAGCAATGCATCACTGTCAGAAAGGTTTACTGTTGAAACTCAATCTAGTAAACTCATCTGCCATATAGAGAAAACATGCCACCACCTCTTCTCATCTAATGTGTAATGAATAGCCTGCCAAGGAAGACATATTTTCAGTGACCTAGTCAACTGTGGTGCAGTCTGAAATAGATTCCATTTTTTTCTGAATGAAGAAGACAGGATTTCACTGGCAATATATTATTTGCTAGGAAATTCAATATCTATTGTCATGCTATTTTCCCCAAATGAGAAGATTTCATCTTGACTTTTAGTAGTATACATGCACTAATATTTTGAAATTGAATTCTTTCTTCCATAACACTTCGTTTGCATTCATTTTGTACTTGCTAGTGGAGCTGAGTTGTTGCTAGGTTACTCATGGGTGCTAAGCTACAGGTAATCATGTTTGAGGGCTGCAAAGAGAAAACCGTTAATAATAAACCCTATGATTTATAAACAAATAGACAGACCATAAAATATATAAATTTTAAGTGCATAATGAAAAAATAGAATGTTTTAAAAATACATATTGATTTACATCTTAGCTTTTTAAACACATGAGCTAGAATGATATAAAAATAAATTGTGATTTTTCTTCATTTTCTTTTATATTATGACATTTATCATGCAAAGTTTTTCTAAATGATTGAGAAGTGAATAATTCTTTTTAAATGTAAAATATAAGGCAAGTTCTGTGATCTACTGTTTTATAGTCAAAGTTTGTTTCTAAGGTAACAAATCAACATCATTAAGATTGTGGGTCACCTTGATGAAAATTCTAATGCCATTCGTGTTTGTCAAATACTAAATCTTCTTTGACATCATCAAAACTTGGCCAGGTATAATTCTCAAACTGAAACTTGCAATGCATTTTTTCCATAAAAAGTAGAAAATCAAGCATGACTATATTGGTGTCATGTTACAGTATGAAACCAGCAAGCCCTCAATTAACATTTTTTATTGAAGCAAAAACTGCCAGAGATGACTTTACTCTAGGTCAATGGAAAAAGCACGTAGTTATGCCTACAATAACTTAAAGTATTAATTTGATCCACAGTACTTCTTTACATATGTACTATTCAATATGGAAACAGTAGATAATAATACTTTAATGATCTTTTAATCATCGAAGGTGTATCCTCTTGAGATTTTTCTTTTTAATAATACTTCCTTTAAACTGCTGAGGCCAAGAATCCTGAGAGTCTGATAATTTCTATATGATAGAGAAAAAGATCTGTACCAAGTAGCCCTGAAAAAGAAGAGGCTAGTGATCCTTGCAGGAGATTAATTTGGCAAACAGAGCTGACCCACATGGTGCACAGAACTCTCCTGTCTCGCCCGCTGCTCCCCTCAGCAGTGTGTCTCAGTAGATCTGCCTGTTCTGCTCCTCACTCTGTCTCTGGTGACTCCTCTCACCCTTTCCCCCACACCTCTGACCTACACCCCATTTCCTGTATGCATAAATAAATAAATATTTAAAAAACAAACAAAAAATGTGATGTAAAAGACAAGTTGGACTGTAAACTCAGTGTTGGCGGTAGAAAAGTAATGTGGCCAAAATCTATCATGTTTTACGAACACTGACTCTGAAGTTACCAATGAATGAAGATCAGCTATAAAACAGTGAAGATTAGGTACAAACACTGATCCATAATCATCATAGAAGTATAGGAGACTCTAGAATAAGTAACCTTATTCCATTTCTATATATAAAAATCTTTTGTTTTACAAATAGAGCAAGGTAGGAAACCTTATCACTTTATTATTTTGCAGTAGTGTACTGTACGAAGTTTAGAGATTTTAGATATAATAGAAATGATGCAAAGAGAATGTTTTGTCATTTTTTTTCCCACTAACTTGCAAACTTGTATGGCATCTTATTTGGAAAAAAATTAAATTTAAGCTACAACGTAATATTTAAAGGTACCCCTTACTCCTGGAAGACTATACCATAGACATCTATTTTCTTACATTGTTAATTAAAATAAATTCCCATTGTCAACATTTTAAAGAAAATATTGCTTCTTCTAGATGACTAGACATACAAAATTTGCTTTCTGAGATTATCTGTCACTTGGTATTTTTTCAATATTCTCAAATGCGCAAAATGAATAGGTAGGAAATAATTTTCTCATGTGTGCACTGGGCGGAAATGAGATTGAATTTGTGGAGTTTGATGTGAGGATCAAGAATATAAAAAGCTACCAGCATTACGCTTGCTCAGTAAGTCATATTATTATTATTATTTGCTTACTGATTGCTCTGAGTACTTGAAATTGCTCTTGCTCAAGTAAATATTTGTCCTTGAAATGAGGTAGGAAAAAAAAAACTGGTGAGATAATTGGTCAGTTGCAAGGAAAGAAACTACAGCAGACACACAAACCACTGTGGGTATACAAACTACTGCTTGAAAATTGCCCAAATCTTGAGAAAATGGGAAGTATGAAAAAATTTGGCAAATTGGTTTTGTTTTGTTTTCCTTGCCTTGTCGGATTTTGTTTACTGGAAGGACATGTGTTGGTGACCACTGAAGAAATATTTAGACAAATAAGTTTCTTTGAGGCAAAATGCTAGTACTTTTACAACAGACTAGAACAACCAACAATAAACCTTAAATGGAGTAACATAATCTAACCTTGAATTACACTCCCTTTCAGTGAGTTACTAACACTTTCATATATCTTGTTCTTTCATAAAGTAAACCAATCTTGCACTTAGTGATTATACAAATGAAAGAATAATCAGAAGAATACTATTCTCTGCAGAGCAAGAAGACAAGTTTAACAGTTAAATATTAAATTCTGTGCCAATACATGTTGCTTTTACTAGATGGAGTGTGTAGAGGATGTAGCAGATGGAGTATATAGAGGATGTAAAATTTGGCCAACTAAATTTTAGTAAATTCATTATAAAAGAATGTCACAAATATTCATGTAATCATATTCTGAAAATTTAACTCATTTATCCACCTCTAATTTCAGGGTAGTATCCTCAAATATGGTTACCAGTCACCACAACAAGGAATATTAGTAGTTCTCATAACCAACAGTAAAAAGAAGCAGAACTTAAGAATGAATGTATGAATACATGACTATATATAGTCTTTCAGGCTGGTACTAAAATTTAGAAATAAAATTTCCTCCAGTGGGTGAAGCTAATAACCTTATCAATGGTTCAATATAAAATTAAGATGCTACTGTTTATTTACTCAGATGAATCACAAATGCAAAAACCTTATTAAACCTTACTCATTAACAGGACCCAATACATAGAGAGAATCTGCTGAAAAGATGCTCAAACATCCACTCCCCTTGCCACCAAATTTCAATGATCAATCTAATGGTTCATTAGGGCAGGGGTTAGAAATGGTTGGATGGGAAGAAGAGAGAATTAGGGTTTGCAATTTTATTGAACCTGAAAAATCACTTTGCCACACCATGTTTTTTGTGACTGAGCCAGTTATTTCAGGTATAAGTTCATTTCCAAATTATGTGTACTGTGGCCAAATGAAA